CCTCGCCCTGTCAAGCTTGTGCCCCTTCCACCCCCGACCCACTCCGCCTCTCATCTCCCTTAAAAAAACAACAACAAATAAATAAACAAACAATGAAACAAACAACACTCCCCCCCCCAAACATCTAATTCATACTGTGTCAATCATTCAAAGCTGAGAGCCTTTCATTCTTCCTTAGAGTTAGATGATAAAGGCGATACAGGATGCAGGAGCACGCCATACGCGTTGTGGGGAATATGATTAGTTCCCTTTGTTGTTTGTCTGTTCGTATTTGTTTGTTTGTTCATTTTTGTTTATCTGTCTTCTTGTTCGTATATAATAAATATGTGTTTTCTTGTTTGTTTGATTGTTTGATCGTTCGATCGTTTGTTTTGTATATGATGCTGGCCTTGAACGTCTTACATAGTAAACCCTGTTTAATATAAGATTAAGACGTCATTAGAACGTCATTATTTGAGCGGGGTTTTCCCCCTTCATTTTGTTGGTTAATTATTTAATTGTGTTGGATGTCGCACTAGTCACACAGGTCGAGTTGAGGGGGGGGGGGGGTGGATGGATTCCCCCGGTACGGAGCAGGGAACTGCGCGGCTAGGTTCCCGATTATTGAAAGCTAGGAATCGTAGGAATCGACTCCGAACCCAATTACTTACTTTCTAATAATGTGATTTCTTCCGGTGGTTACCTGGTTGGCCCCGAACATCATGATTTAGGATAACCTTGATTTTGGGACACTGCGAAACATCAATTTTTATTTGTCAAAAATGAACTCTTGAAAGAAAAGATTCTGGTAACCGTTGGTTTTCGTAAAAAGCAGTCGGAACTTTTCTTCCCTAGCATTAATCGTGGGGATCGGTTCCGGAATCGACTCTTCGCCCAACTCTATCAAAAACCCACACCTTCTCCTACTCCCACCCCTCCCTCACACTCTCAGAGAGAATGCACTTCTATTGGTTTGATTCATTTCCAACACACACACATACACATACACACACATACACACATAAACACACACACACACGCACACACATAAACAAACACACGCACACACACACACACACACACACACACACACACACACACACACAAATTGCCAATCTAGTATGCCCCCTTCATCCCAAATTGTCCGAACCGTCTTTCCACTCGTTCATCCCCCTTCCCCCGCCTTTCC